TTAGTGTATACAGTAACCATCTGTACACAGTATAGTATTTTGGCTTTTTTTCTTCTCATCTTTTTTTTCTGTTTTCATTTTCCTAGTGTGGGATTAAATGAAGTCTGTCTCTCGTCACAGGAATGACTCTGTGGGATCGTGATGACCTGATGAAAGATGTTGGAGAAAGACCGAAGGCCTCTAATGATTTTGAAATTGTTGCTTCTGAATCAATCTCAGACAAATCTTCAGCTCTAAATGTTGAAGCTTCACTGAAGGCAAGTTTCCTGGGTGGACTGGTTCAGGTTGATGGATCTGCCAAATATCTGAATGATAGTAAATCTTCCAGAAATCAGGCCAGAGTAACACTGAAGTACAAGGCAACCACAAAGATCCAGGAGCTGTCCATGAATCATCTTGGAAGAGGAAACGTGAAGCATCCATATGTTTTTGATCAAGGCTTAGCAACACATGTAGTCACAGCTATTCTTTATGGAGCACAAGCTTTCTTTGTGTTTGACCGTGAAGTTTCTGAACAGGAAGATCATCAAGATGTTCAGGGCAACTTGAAGGTGATCATCAAGAAGATTCCCTTACTTTCTGTAGAGGGTGAAGGTTCCCTGAAGATGGAAGAGAAGGACAAAGAAAGTGTTGATAAATTCTCCTGCAGGTTTTATGGAGACTTCTGTCTTCCAAAACCACCAACAACCTTTCAAGATGCAATAAAAGTCTACCAAAGCCTGCCAGGATTACTGGGAGACAAAGCTGTACCAGTGAAGGTCTGGCTGCTGCCACTGACAGCTTTAGATTCTTCTGCTGCTAAACTCGTCCGTCAGATCAGTACAAGATTAGTTCAAGAAGCACAGAGAGTCCTGGAGGACTTCAGTGAGCTGGAAATGAGGTACAATGATGTACTGGGAACCAGCACTGCACAGCAGTTCCCACAGATTGATAAAAAAATGAAAACTTTTAAAGAAATGTGCTCTGAGTTCAAACTGGAATTCCAACAAACTTTGGCCAAGAAACTTCCATCAATCCGAGGAGGAGGAGAAGAGGAAGCGGAGCTTGCAGAAATCCTGAAGAAGAGACATTCTTCACCTTTCAGCAGCAAAAGCCTGAACGAGTGGATGGACTGTAAAGAGAGAGAAATCTACACATTAATGTCTTTTACCAGGATGATGAAAAACACCAAAATCATCTCGTCTCAAAATGATCTCTACAAGGAAAGTCTGAGTGCAGAGCATGTTGTGTGTTTTGTTTTCACCTCTCTGGGAAAGGATGAACCGTACCTCTCAGCTTTATATAGATACTTGAAAGGAAAAACCAACAAACAAACCAACCAAACCTCCTGGTTAGTCTGTTCAATTTCATTTTCATGTTCATTTTTAATGTTTTCCACCACAACTCTCACACTCATGATGTAGAGAAGGAACAATGGTACGCCTCAAAAGAAGTAACAGCTGAAATGAGGAGGAAAGCAAAACTCTTCAGTGATTTTGCAGAGGCCAACAAGGAAAACAAGAACATTAAGTTCCTGACAGTGGGGTTAACTAATGAGACCCAGGAAGGTTCCAGCATCCACCTTTATGAAGGTG